TTAGGTATTGGAAACAATATGAAATTCTCCCCTAAAAGATGTTTCAGGGTAATAGGGATGGCAAAAGTATTATAATACAGTGAAATAAGTATTACACATTTAGAGAGTTAGAAGCACAAAAGGATAAGTCAGCCATGGAGAGGGCCCCTGGGAAAAAAGTCTAGGAAGTTTTCTTAGTAGCTGCCACTGTCATCTCCCTCTCCTACTCCTCCACTTCAGGTATCAAAATCATTATAGAGATTGTGCTCTGCCAGTGATCCAGATGTAAGGCAGGTGTCTGACAATCTCTTCTGTGAATTGGATCAGGACCTCAGTTGAGCTTTCCCTTTAGGGAGATTCTGACTCAGGAAGTGCAAGCATGTCACTGAAGAGCAGGAAGTATATATGCTCATCGATGCTTCTGGCAAGAGAAGTTGGCCATAATGAAAGGCACCCTCTTCACTAGAGTTCTCTTTTGTCATTTATGTAATCTGAGGTTCTGCTAGTCACCTTTACTTAAAGTGTAACCATGAGTTCAAATCTCCGATTCTTCAGGTAACTAATATAGTTCACTTTGAGATCTCCTGGGTCTTTATTACTAGAGCCTGGTGTGGAAATTTAGGCAACAGGGGATAGGACAGGGGTGGGGAATATTTTCTGAAGGAGAAGGATATGCTCTTCCTATCCCCATCCTCACACCCAGGATTTATGTTGTAATATCTAGGATTGCCTATAAATAGGATTAGTTCTGATACATTTATGTACTAAAACTCCATTTCCTTTTCTAAACCTAAACTTTGCAGTGTACCTGTCACGTAGTGGATATTTAAGACATATTTATTGGATGTTGACTAAAAGCATAGATGACAAATTGGAGGGATACAATAAGTATCATTACATATTTTGCTAGATTCAGGGTCAGGTTGGTCAGGTCTACCTTCTGTGATTCGCTGAAGGTGATTCCAACCTGTAATATGACAGTCTATTATTCAAGTTATAATTACCTTGACTAGAGTGATTTCTATTTTTAAACAAAGGAAGGGAAAGAAATGAATTTGGTTTAATACCTGGAAGCCTTAGAATGCTGAGGAAGAAATATGTCCAAATTAGAATGTTGTTAAAAGAACCCAGAGGAAATACAGTGAACCTAAAACTTACCTCTTATGGCAACAAGAATGATTTTCAGACTGAAAAGAGAAAGCTATAGATGTCTTAGAGATGCATAAAGCCTAAGATAGATGAGGAACTAGAAAGATTGCCTAGTTCTGAGTAAGTTCATATTTCCTGGTCTAGATAAATTGTGTCTGAAAACAAATGACATTTCTACTTCTATTGAAAAACTATTGTAACTGATGGGAAATAAGAGATTTACCAGGGAAAAAAGGTGAGCCATATGTTCCATTTTTCAAAAAAATGGAAGATAATTTCTGAAAGTTATAACCTATATTCTTAGTTTGTGAATGTTTACAACAACAGTTATAACTGGAAGTCAGACATTTTTTTCAAGCAACAGACCTTTATTTATTGAATGCCCTCCAAGTTCTAGCTTTTGTGATATCTCTCACTATATCAAGAACAAAAAGAGATATGTGAGTGTAATGACTTGTTTCTGTGAACTCCCATTTATTCCAAGTCCTCAATCCAAAGCATCCTCAAGGTCACTCTCTAATCCATTAACTTATTTCACATCTCTGCCTATTATTTGTTTTTCTAAAACATTTCCTTTGCTTTCTTATTTGTTTATGGTTTGTCTCTATTCATGAGGATGCAAGCTCTAGAGAGTAAAGGCTTTGTATGTTTTGTTCACTGTACTTAGAGCAATGCATATCACAAAATACACAATAATATTTTGTTGAATGAATTTATGAATTGAACTGCTATATCCAAATATATTTATAGGATTGATTGATGGCAGAACCGGGTAGGCCAGAGCTCTTTATCACTGGTATATGACTTGAATGAAAATACAAATGACGTGCCTAGGCAAAAGGTTCATGAAATAATATAAAAATTTTTTTCTTCATAGTTTACAGTGACAACCCAAATCTAGTCAGATGAAATTGGGTAGAGACAATGCCTAAAGTACTATTTTTGGATCTAGAGAAAAAGCATATCTACAGAATGGAGTTTGATTTCAACAAATGCTTAAAAAAATAAAAGGATTAGAGATTTTAGGCCACCGTGAAGTTCTGGGAGCCAGAAATCCAAAGTCAGGGTGTCAGCAGGGCTGCACTCTCTCCAGTCTCCCATCTTTGCCTCTTCCAGCTTCTGGGGCTCCCGGCTCTCTTTGGCTTCTGGCTGCATAACTCCCATCTCTGCCTTTGTCCTCATATGGCCTTCTCCTCCCATGCTTCCTATGATCCAACAATATGAACTAACTCCAACTTCACTCTCCTGTATATTCTAAACTCGCCACCAAAAACAAGGAGACAATTCTAATTATTATAATCTTCATTGTATCAGTTGACTTTATTGTCAAATCATAGAGGTGATGATTATATTCTACTTTGTGTTAAAAAATACATCTAGTTAAACATATAACTTTTCAAAATTTAAAGAAATATCAACAGAACAAAATGATGAGAATAGTGAAATTTCATCAGTTAAGGACTGGTAAGGAGGGGTTAATAGAAATAGCAGTATAACTATCATGCTGAAGAGAGCTCTTAGAATGCACATGATTAGAAGGGGAGAGAAATAGGAACAATGGAATGGTTGTATTGTATTTTGGCTCAATATAAGGAATTTTGCACCAATTCTAACAATTATGCTAAATTTGTTGCCTTGGAGGTAGGCAATTCTTCATGTGGTGGCAGAACAGAGGATCAGAGAGATTTTTGTCTTGGATGGGGGCGTTAAACTAGATAGCCTTCAACATCACTTCTGATTCTAAGATTCTATGGCATAATATGTGCATTAACAAGATACCTCTCTGTACAGGTTTCTCCAGCTATAATCTTTAGAGCAGTTGAAGACAGGAGGACAAATGTTATAAATAAATGATTATGCTTCCTGAAATGATAGGCAAGGGAATATGGTAGATGAGTGCACTGTTGTTGAGGTGGAGTGTCTGCATCCAGATCCCAGCTATGACTTACTAGCTAGCGACTTTACATAAGTTACTTAACATCCCTGAACTTTAGTTTCCATATATCAAATGGATGTAATACAGTATCTGCCTAATAGGTTTGCTGTAATAATAAAACGAGGTAATACCCAAAAAGCTTTTAGAATGATACCTGGCTCATAGTAATTGCTAGCTATTATTATTGCAGCTATTATTCCAATTAAATACAATAAAATCATCACGGGGTATTAATGATATATTTTATTTCATATTATTTGTCTTTAGATATTCTTTGGGAGAATATATGATCTTATAGAGAAAGGATGGCTATTGGATCCAGGCAAGCCTGGGTGTCAAACCTGTTCCTACTTTTTATGGGCTGGTTAGTCTTAGACTAGACTACAGCTGACCTCACCATGTCTCTTTTTCCTAATGACTCTTTACTAACACGGCTTCTGGAAAATTAAATGATGCAATATATATAATTTTCCCAGTAATAAATGTCAGTTCTTATTCCCCATGAAGAGATGACATTTCATTTTATTTTTATCCAAATAAGGTATTGTCTGGAGGCCATAGCAGTTCATAGTGAATATAGAGACTTAGGGCTTAAAAGGGACCTGAGACTTCTCTTAGGTCTGGGATTTTGATTTCTCTTACCTTAATTGCACCAGTTTAATGAAGGTTATTTCAATTATATCCATAAAACTTAACGATTTATTTGACTTGATTGCCCTGTCTTCTTCTGTAGACCGTTTAGTTTGCTTTTTAGTGGACTGAGGCAATGTGTAGCTGTGTGCAGATTTCTCCTTGTCTCTGAGTCCCTGGGGAAGCTGCCTGAGGCAGGGGCTTCTGAAATGATAGGAGCCTTAAACTTAGTTAAGCAGCTTGGAACCCAGAGCGGTATCAAAGCTGGGCTTTTGATTATGCATATTATCCTGATTTCTACAACTTCCTCATGTTCAGCCTTCTCCCCCCAATACTACACAAAACGAAACTATATTACACTGAGTTGTAATCAAAACTCAGGACATTTTATCATTTGATTCATTAACATTACTATATTAGAAAATACAGGAGATGATAAGGTCTAAAAAATAAATTTAAGATCAAGAGCTTTCTATTTTTTCCAGTTTAGAGTTAAATTGATGAAATCACTTCTATTCAAAATATGCTGCTTATTAAACTGCTACTAAATTGTATGTATTCTGTTCTTTATTTTTATAAATGATGTAAGAGAATGTATCATAAGTTCAATATAATTTATTGGCATGATATTTGTTAATTATGGCACTATAAAAAATAATTTTCTTTGAGAATCAAAACAACAACAAAAAATAAATAAAAAACAACCCTCACATTGAAAGAATAGCACTTCTATGAGGAAATGCTGCTAATGAGAAAGCCTATATAACAAAAGGCTAAATGCAAATTGTCCCCTTGACTGGGAGTTCGACCAGGAATTTGACCAGGGGGTGGGACTGGCCCACCAACCGCCTGCAACCCCTCCCTCCAGCCGGCCCCATTCCTGATTGGCCCCTCCACCCTGATCGGGAACAGGGCAGGCCAGCAACCTCTCACATCCCCCCCTACAGCCAGCCTGGCCTGATCGGGGCGGGCTGGCCGGACCCCACCCTTGCACGAATTCATGCACTGGGCTTCTAGTTTATATATAACTTTATAGAGAGTGGTACTTTTTAATTCTGAAGATATATATCATATAATTGCCATTATCCTTAGGCTGATATTTTACTGCTGTGATAGTTCTTTGCTTCTCATTCTAATGACATATTAACATGGAAGCTAATTTTTTTTCTGTCAAAAACACATTGGTCAAGCATAATAACTGTTTTCTTTGATAACTTGTCATTTAACCTGGTAGAACTACTCTAAAATTATGTCATGTTCTTCCCTCTTTTCATCTCCACTCTTGCTTTCTGGTTACCCGTTCTAGCAATACAAGACCAGTTCAAGCTACAAGGCTTTTGCAGCAATCCCTACCAACACATTGCTTTTGGAACAGAAGGTCAGTGTTGGCTCAAAAGCAGAGTAAATTTTATGTTTATAATGTAACTTTTGTTATGTTTTCTAAAATTTCTGTTTTAAAGTTCTGTCTGTACTAAAACAAAATTCTCTCAGTTTAGGATGATGTGAATAAAACATCTTGGTGAATAAAATTGAAGGCATCATCAATTTATCACTAGAGGCTAGATTTGAGCCTAGAGTGTCCAGTCCAATGTCAAGTAGCCCTGGAAACTTCATTTAGATTTGGATAGATCCTGTCCTTTGGAATTTTAGATTGTTGTTACATTCAAGAGCTTCCACCTCTATTGGCATTGATCAAAAGAGTAGAGGCAAAATGGGGTTACATGTGAAACTGGACAGCTTGGTCAAAACTTGGTGACTTGAAGTGGCTTCCACAGTATAGATACTCAGTTAGCTGAGTATCCAGGTTAGCTCCTTAGAACCCATCATGGGCTAAACCTCTTTATACATTCCTGCTGGCTACTGATCCTACCCCCATAAATGAGAGGGAAGATTGAGATCACTTCCAATGACCCATGCTTTCGCATGACTTGAGGGCACTTTTGCTTTTTGCTATTCAGATACTAATTATAAAATTATAGGATTCTACTTCAGTAGGTAACTTAAATTACAGCCTCTGGTTCAATAAGCACATTGCAGATGCTCAAATGAAGGCCAAATGGAGGATCATATCAGAATCAAAGTGGAATCAATTATAAAATCTATGAAATTGTTCATTTCATATGTTATTTTGATGATATTTATTTAGGCAATTTATCTTTTTGTGCATTAAACTCATTTATGCCCCCCACCAGTGTAATTAGTATTTCAAATACTGTTATTATCATTTGTATAATGTTAATGTTTGCCAACCAGGTAGAATTTTGACCACAGGTTTATGAATCTACATTTTTTGTTATTTTAGCATAATCTGAGAAATACAAACCTTTGCATGATCTCTTGTTTGAAAAGTAGGAATTGTTAGTGGGAAATGCTAAGTAGCATGTAGGTGAGCATTAGTGGGAAGATTTCTTAAATCTTATATCTCTTATAACTAATTCCAAATTATACACATGTAGTTGAGGCTCTACTATATGTATCTATAAGCTTTGAACTGAGGGTTAGGGGGTGTCACTGGGCTTCAGGGAGATTGGAAGATTTTTCTCTAGCTTCTCTTCTAAATTTCTACCTTTTATAACTCAATACATAACGGTCCTAAAGCTCTGATTTCAGGAGGCTTCAGAAGAATGCAAGAAGTGCACCAATTGCCCCTTATTTCAATGGCCTATTGTTATGTTGAATCATAGTAAGCGTTCCCTCAGCACAGACCCTCTGCCCATTTCAGATGGACATTTCTGAAATCTGGTCATTAGTGCCTGCCTTTGCAGAAATGGGAGTAACTCTCCCCCTGAAGCAGCCAGGCAGGGAAGAGAATAGGGGCCTATTGTGTCATGGTATCCTTTCATCATAATTGTCTCACCTAACCTGTCATATTTCCTGTACCCAAGTGCTTCTACTATATGAATGTTTTATTTAGAAAACCAACAGTTACTTCTTCTTGAAAAATTTTTATAAGATAAAGTTGGATGGCATTATTCATTCCAAAATTTCTGTCTGCCAGCTCTCTTCCAATTAAATGGATTTTAGGCATTATAATCTCTTAGTCATTAAAAGTGAAGAACCATTAACTTAATTTCTAATTTTGTCACAGACCTATTTCATCAATGTGTACGGTGGTATCACTATATATTTAATCTAATACAACTTCATATGGGAGAGTTTTTGTGTTTTCAATTTTGAATAAAACATATTTTTTAGGAAAATTATTATTTTTGCTGTTAGTACACCAAAATGTAAATGTCATGATGCCTAATTTTAAATATTATTCTAGAGAGGATTGATTATTATACAAGCAATAATGTTGGTAATTATCTCTTGGCTAAGATAAATTATTTTTGGATCATAAATATTTTTGGACCATGAATTGCTCAAAGATCTCATGATATGATTTGATGTTTGTTTTTGCTTTAGAGCCTTTGTATAATTCCACATATTTTTTTCTGGCTTTTCCATAGTATGTGCTCCTAAATAAGAAACTTTACTTTGTAAGAATTTTTAAATAGCAAAAGTATTATCACAAGATTTTATGAGAGCTTATTTCCATTTCCACTAATATTTCTTGAATACTATTGTATTGCTCTTTTCATAGTTGTAGTTTTAAAAAAATAAATCTGGTAATTTAGACCTTTTTATTTATATGTTTATACCAGCAATTTTCAAGTGGCATGCCACAAGAATTTTTAAAACATGCAATACCTTACTATGTAGTCAGGGACACTGACCTCGTTTCCCTTAGATTGTCAAATATAATAACAGCCAACACAACAATAGCCATCCAGTGTGAACGGATCAAAATGATACCTTTTTTTTTGTCAGATGGGCCAAAATGTATTTATTGGTGTGCCACAGAATTTTAGTAATTACTTTATGTGTGCAATGAGATGAAAAAAGGTTGAAAATTGCTGGTTTATACAATACAACTCATCCTATGATGTTTAAATCGCAGGGTTTTATTTCTGAATTGAGTGAGAAAATTAAGACAATAATAATCAGAAGCTCATCTATTTTGGAAAGCCTTAGCATTATGGAATATTTTAAATCACAGAAGTTTTTTTGAGATCCGTTTAATATAACAAAGAACACCACCTTTAAAGTGTAGGGTAATGCTGCAGTCTCATTATAATAATCGGTTAGCATCTATATACTGTAGAACAGGGGTCCTCAAACTACGGCCTGCGGGCCACATGCAAATACAAATATTCTATTTGTTCCCGTTTTGTTTTTTTACTTCAAAATAAGATATGTGCAGTGTGCATAGGAATTTGTTCATAGTTTTTTTTTAAACTATAGTCCGGCCCTCCAACGGTCTAAGGGACAGTGAACTGGCCACCTGTTTAAAAAGTTTGAGGACCCCTGCTGTAGAATGTCTTGAAGAGATAGCTAACAATTGATTCAAGCCTTAATTCAACAATTAATTCTCTCCCCCAGTCAAATTAAACCTATGGTTGACATTTTAAACAACATTATGTTTATAGAATATAGTATAGCAATTATTAGTAAGGAACCAGAGTTGCTTAAAAATAACACTATTTTTAAAAGCCAGATTTTCTCCAAATTCAAACACAGGCATCCCTTACCATGAGACATTAAGCCATCATTGAATCACTGGATTGGTTTCAGATTTAATCACCCTTAGATGAAGCACATAATTTTCAAAAGAGTACATTTTGTTGGCAGGGGATATGAGGTTTCTGGTACTTCTGTTCTATAATTTATTTTCTGCATCAAAACTGAAATCTATAGCATATTCAGTATTCTATCTTTTTTTCCTATGTACGTTTAGAAGGAAAGCATTTTTAGCTTGTCTTAACTAAAGCTTTATAGGAAGAGGTAAATGTAAGCATCATCTTTTAACATGTTTGTTTCAGGGACTTTGGCTTCATCTGCTGCTAATAATCATGTCCAAGCTTGAGATGAGGATGAAATACAAGTGATTATAAAGCAGGAACAAAGTAATCAGATTACTTTGCATTTGTGGCTGTCCACAGACCTTATTACAATATGTTCAACAATATACTGAGCTCTGTAGAGAAAATAATTTTGATATGGACATTATTTTTTAGTCTCTATTTGCGTACTGCTCTCAGAGAATGTTAAAAGTATCTCTTATTGACTAAGCTTTCTTTTTATCATCTGAGTTTGATAGCAATGGATAAAAAGTTAAAATTAAACTGCAGAGCACATATTGATATTCTAAATAAATGGATTATTATTTTCACTGTGCACTTGTGTTCAGGAAAGGAAAGATGAAGGTGGGAATATTTCCATGAAATCATATAATATGGATCTTTATCGTCTCTTGAGTAATTAATATTTTTCAATAATAGTATAAAATTTCTTCTTGAAAAATAATTTGAATTCTTTGTTATTTTCCTCACAAGTATTCTTTGGGATAAAATCAAGGCTATATCACTACTGTTTTACAACAAATGACATTACTATCCAATAAATGGCATTTTAAAGATACTTTTCATTCATAAGCTACACATGTTTGAAAGAAAAATTCTAGAGGAGCTCAATTTTATAAGTAGCATATATAAATTACAGTATTAATTATTCAAACAAAACTTCTGGGATAAAATTTATTTTGGGTAGAAGGAAAATAAACAACCACTTTGAAGACTATGCAAAAATATAAAAACTTAAAAGATTTGAAATATCTCATCAGCTGTCAAACCAATTTATTCTAAGTTGCTAGTTTAATTTTTTAAGACATGAGTTGGTAAACTCCAATGTGCTTAAACATATGTCTTTGGGTAAGACTCTTTTAGGATCTGTGTGTCTGAAAAATTTAACAAAATCTGGTTGCTAACCTAGCATATGGCCTATACTAGAGAGACATCTCTTAATTTAGATTAGTATAAATAGTGAATGCGTTCCCAATTTCTTTAGTAATGGAGAGGTGCCAGGACCCAATTCTAAACTGATTGGTTCTCCTTAGGCAATTGTCTACCATGCACATAGCTCTTTTAAAACACTTAGCAAATCATATTTAATTATGCATATTGCTTGTTTTATTTTTTATCATGAGCTATTTGAGAGAATATAGATTTTTACTAAAGGTTTATTGAATCAATTAATTTAGTTTATAGCTGAGTATGTCTCTAAAATATCCAATTTTATTCCACAGGATTTCAAGACAAACTTTTGTTCAGAGGATATAAAAATAAAGGAGTCTGGTGTATGGCAATTGGGATGATGACAATTAAGAATCTTTCTTTAGGGTAGAATAGCCTTATCAATTCTGCTTCCATGGAAAAGATATAAGGGCCTTTCTTCTATAAAGGAAGTGAGTTGGTTTTAGACTTGGCACATTTTAACAAGTAAAGAGTATAGTCACAATGGCTGCCATAGTAACGGCGTATCAGACACTAAGCTGAGTACTTGACTATCCTCACAGCTCTGTGAAGATTTTAATGATCACAGATGCCAAGTAGATACCTTAAAGCAGTGGGGCTAGTAGGTTGCTGAATTGGATGGTTAATTCGATCCTTGCTAAAATATAGTAACTTGCCCAGGAACTTTTTGAAATCCAACCCAATTAGATAGAGTAGGCATCACAAAAAGTTTCATAAACGCTTTTAGATTATTCTTCCTTTGAAAGCAGTTAAGTTTCTAACTCTATTTAGAGTGCAACTACGCATTCTATCTTTAGATATTTTTTAGAACTTAGTCCTATTTCGAAAGAGAGTGGTAGGTTAGACTGATTTAATATATCTGACGAAAAATTGTTTGCAGTTCCATCAGAGATGCTCCCTTTGCTGGGGGAACACCGATTACAGTTTATTGGCATCTATTCCCATAAGCACTTGGACTTACAAGGCTTGCTCATAATTCTTAGCTATTAATGATAATGTAGTATGGATCTCAAAACTATTTTATTTTAAACGTCAAATTTAATAGTTCCCTTTTAAAAAAATTAAAAAAAAAACCGGGGCCACAAAGTTGGCTGTCCCAAGCAAAATATCACTACTTTTAATGAAAATATTTCTGATAACGTATATTAACTAAGACTCTTTGAAAATGGAATTCAAAGTATGTCCCAATTATGCCTCACTTGACTATAGTCCAATTTGGTGGACAAATATATGTTTTTAATAAAAATATTTTATTGGAAAATATCTGAGAGAACTTCACTCAAAATGAATAAATATAAAGAAACATCAATACAATCCTGCTGGCTAAGTTGTGAAAAAGCAATTGATGATCATATTTCCTGTTAATAGAGATTTAATTTTAATACTTTTTTTTTTTTACTATAGAGAAAGAATCTACTTTTTATGGCTGCTAGAAAGAGTGGATCAAGATGTACTTTGATAAATTCTTGTCAATAAAAAAATCAATTCTACTAAATTTCAAAGCTATTTAAACTCAAAATAACACCCTTCCAAATTTTAATGCAGTCTTAGTATTGTCCCCATTTCAAAGTTTCAGCACATTAATGACCTAATACCCGTTATCTTCCTTAATTTTCCAATCATTCTGCATAGATTTATTTTTGTTCTTTGAGTAAATGTCAGCATTTAAAATAGCCCAAATGAAAGTTGTGTTTGCCTATAATAAGTTCCCACAGAGTAACCAGGATATTAGCCTTCATTGGTTTTATCTGAAAAAAAATTCTCTCATTAAATCAACACTGACTGTATGCTCAGATCTTTGAACAAATTTAATTGAAATATGGGGAAAGGAATTATTTATTTGTTAGTTAAAATATTTAAATAGTTTAAACTACTTCTCTAGAACATTTTACTAAGGAGTATTAAAGCCACATTTTTTAACGATTCTTTAATTAATTTCATTTACTTGTCAGTTTACCCTTTCAATCCATCCTAAAGATTTTTATTGAGCACTTATCAAGTGCTCTTTCCTGAATATACAAAAATAAATACCATATTTTCCCAATTGAAATAGGAAAAATTTTCCAGTAAGGTGGAGCTACAATTGAAAAAGTAATTATGATGCAATATAATTAAGTTATGTGCACATTGATAGAGTTCTCAACCTGACAAATGTATCATATAAGTAGAGTAAAAGAGAAAAGGGCTAAGAATTAGATAAAGCATTTTGAAGAATGAAATCTGTTGTCTGCCTCAGATAGACAGGCTCACTGTGGATTTGTTTTAAAAGTATGCTATTGACAGAGAATAAAGTAGAATATAGAACAGCTTACATCCATGCAAATGATAAATGAAATCGTGTCAATGAAGAAGAGGGGAATAAACATATGAAAGAAGCCCAACCTCAAAAATTATCAGGGAAATGAAATCTCAAGAGAGATGTACATCAGGATGTTAACATTTTTTTAGTGTGAAAACAAGACCTCTAATTCATTGCTATCCTAATATATAAAATGCCAGGGGCCATCACGACCAAAAGAACCGGACAGATGACCGAACAGCAGGCTGTGTGGGGCGACAAGGCTGGCAGGGGGTTTAGTGAGGGACGACCAAATGACTGAACAACAGGCTGCATGGAGCAACCAGGCTGGCGGGGGGTGGGGGGGGGTGGAGGCAACCAGGCCAGCAGGGGGAGCAGTTTGGGGTGACCAGGACAGCAGGGGGGGCAGTTAGGGGCAATCAGGCCAGCAGGCAGAAGTGGTTAGGAGTGATCAGGCTGGCAGGGGAGCAGTTAGGGGCAATCAGGCAGGCAGGCAGGTGAGCAGTTAGGAGTCAGTGGTCTCGGATTGTGAGAGCGATGTCCGAATGCTGGTTTAAACCGGCAGTCTAAACCGGCAGTCAGACATCCCCCGAGCGGTCCCAGATTGGAGAGAGTGCAGGCTGGGCTGAGGGGACCCCACCCCTGTGCACAAATTTTGTGCACCGGGCCTCTAGTGATGAGTTTAAGATTATTCATTTCAAAGGACAATTTGAGAATATCTGATAAGGTGGCTCTCCATGATTACACTATTGTGCAGGTACTTTAATCTTAAAACTACAAATGTGTGTCTAAAGAAATGTGTACATTGCCCTAACCGGTTTGGCTCAGTGGATAGAGCGTTGGCCTGCGGACTGAAAGGTCCCAGGTTCGATTCCGGTCAAGGGCATGTACCTTGGTTGTGGGCACATCTTCAGTAGGGGGTGTGCAGGAGGCAGCTGGTCCATGTTTCTCTCTCATCGATGTTTCTAACTCTCTATCCCTCTCCCTTCCTCTCTGTAAAAAATCAATAAAATATATTTTTTTAAAAAAGAAATGTGTACATGGATGATAGTTATTACAGTTTATAATAGTAAAAATTGGGGACACTTCCAAAATCCAGCAACAGAATAAAATATCCATTTTTGTGTGAAATATGCATACAATGGAATCTTATGTGTAAATGAATGACTGAATATATAACTACATGGAAAAAGAAATAAGATAGTAAGGAATTCTGAGTGGTGATGGATATGTTTACGGCCTAGATTGTGGAGATGGTTTTATGGATGTATACTTATTTCCAAATTCATCAGTTGTGTACATAAAATACAGGTTTTTGTATGTCAATCATAATTTGACAAACTGGTTAAATAATAACAAAAAACAAAGCAAGTTCCAAAAGTGTACATTAAGCGTACACAAAATTAGAAGAATTGCACAAAACAACCTCATAGTAGTTGTTACATTTTGAAAATAGTTAAATGTCATTTGAGGCCAAGTCGAAGTCGGATGAATAACGTAGCCAAGACTTTTTGTTATATAAATGATTACAAATGAGGCAAGATTTAAAAATTCTGTGTGCATGTTTCTTATAAACTGGTTCTGAAGTATTTTCTTAAGAATAGTTTTTGTACATTTTGAGAAATGCCTACATCATTGTTATTTCTGTGGGTAGTTTCTCAAGGTAACTGCTTTGAAGGGAACAAGGCTCATCTAGATGTATAAGATGTCCAAGTTCTAGTTTGTATGTTTAAAAACTCAGCCTCCTTTCTTTCTTTTTTTAATATACAATTTTTATTGATTTCAGTGAGGAAGGGAGACAGAGAGAGATAGAAACATTAATAATGAGAGAGAATCGTTGATTGGATGCCTCTTGCACGCCCAACAATGGGGATCAAGCCCACAACCTGGGCATGTGCCCTGACTGGGAATTAAACCATGACCTCCTGGTTCATAGGCCAATGCTCAACCACTGAGCCACACTTGCTGGACTCAGCCTTCTTTCTTTATTCCAACATCTTATAATAGATATTTTGATTCCACAAGAGAAAATATGTCAGAGGAGAGCTCATCAAATTATTTGAAGATTTATTTCTTAGAAATATTGAGATACACAGGGATTTCTTTGAAGAGACTTTTCTATGACAATTATATTTGACTAAAAGCCTCAAGGGCGGGGGGAAAAAGGAGACATATGTAATACTCTTTGTAATACTTTAAGCAATAAAACAATAAAAAATAAATAAAAGCCTCACATAAGAACTATTTCATTTACCACTAGGCACTAGATGAACCGGCCAAAACTGAAAACATCTCCAAGGACAACACATTAGACCCACCTCTGGAGGTAATGACTTCATATTACCCCTGCTTTTGAAGTGCAATCCCAAAACTCATTGCTAACTCAGTACCTGGTTTCAATTCTTCCAGTTTTGTTTCCCTGCACAGCTCAGGCAGCAAACTGAAGAGCTCTGTGCTACCATTGATAAGGTCTTACAGGATTCTTTGTCTATGGTAATGCCTTAGACTAGAATGTGCAATTCAAACATTTGCTTTGCTTCTCTTCATTTACCCCTACTTGAGTATGATGCATCATAGGCTTGTCCTTTTTATTTTCCAGCATTCTTCTGGTTCTCCTTCAAGTTCTCTACAGAAATTGTTGGGTTCTGACACTACCAAAGTATGTATGTGTTTAATATAATTTACTGAACCATGAGAGTTTCTATAGCAGTAATTTTTAAGCTTCAGGTCAAAGCCCAATAGTGAATTGGGAGGTTAATTTAATAGATAGCAACCAGCATTATTTTGTTAGTAAATAGCATTTTAAAAATAGAATAGTAAGAATGTAAAATATCAGACTCTAGGTAGTGTCTGTATTATTGAAATTTATTTTAATTTGTTTACATATACAGGTATGCGTGTAAGGGTTGCAAAGTAAAATCTGTTTTTAACTATGTATGGGATAAGTTCAAACCAACACATTAGATTCTGTTATATGTTGGTATTTGCGGGAGCTATATGGAAGTAACTGCATGGAGAATCTGTTGCCTAATCTCATCTCAAACCCTACCTTCAGTACCTAAGTAATTCACAGCCACTTAGAATTATGGAAGTGGAAAATGAAGTAGACTAAAGTAGCATTAGTCTAAGAGCTTTAACACAAGTATTATTTCTGGAATGTCTTTTCTTTTGAAATGTATCTCATTGTTCTTTGACTAAGAGGGAAAGAAGCATGGATATTTGAGATTCTTATGGCATTACTAAAGCATTAATTGTTGCATTTACATAATTAACTATTTCCTTCTTATAATTGTAGCCAATGTTATTTGTTGGAATAAAATGCTACATTTTTCCAAAATTTTTTGAATGCTTAATACGGACCTACTCATCCAAATTTTAAAATGGTTGTTTTTCCTTTATTGATAATTGTTAGTTTTGTGTGTCTTTTGTCAGCCTTATATTCTCTCTTGGAATTAGTATACTTTTTGCATGTTCTTTTTAAAAGTTGGACACTGTGTGTATAAAGTAGGTTTTAAATGTAGAAATTGCTTATAATTAGAAGAGTAATCCTAATTACCAATTGGAACATTATAGACAAATATCCTATATAATAAAAGGGTAATATGCAAATTGACTGAATGGCGGAACAACCAGTCACTATGACACACACTGACCACCAAGGGCCAGATGCTCAATGCAGGAGCTGCCCCCTGGTGGTCAGAACACTCCCACAGGGGGAACGCTGCTCAGCCACAAGCCGGGCTCATGGCTGGTAAGCGCAGTGGCGGTGGCAGGAGCCTCTCCTGCCTCTGTGGCAGTGCTAAGGATGTCCTACTGCGGCTTAGGCCCCCTCTCCATGGGGAGCAGGCCTAAGCCCTTAGTCGGACATCCCCTGAGGGCTCCCAGACTGCTAAAGGGCGCAGGCTGGGCTGAGGGGACCCCTCCCTCCCAAGTGCATGAATATTGTGCACCAGGCCTCTAGTCCATTAATAATTACATAGAAACTTAGTAACCATTAAAAATTCTATTTTAGCAGAGAGGACCTACAAATGAATAATTGTAGTTTATGTTTTTATTAAATGTTTAGTTGTATATTTTTTGTCTTTTAATCTAAAAGTATAAAACTTTGTTTGCTTTGCCAAAGAAATACTATGTAAATTTTAAAATATATTTTAATTAACTATAATGGGAATATGATTTAAATAGTAATATGTGAATAAACATCTTAACTATTGACTTATTTAACAAATATTTAATGCTTATAGTGTTTAAAAACATTATTCTACGTCACTGTTATTAAGGCAATTATTTCATTCAACAAATATTTATTAAGCACCTACTATGGGCCTGGCACTGTGAGGCATTAGGGAGATAATGGTGAACAAGGCAGAGTAACCTAGAGGGACATACTTTGGATATAGTAATCAGAAAGTAGAATTCAAGCTGAGACCAAAGATGGAAAAAAGCCAACCAAGAAAGATCAGGGAGAATAGTTTTTAGGCAAAGGAGCAGGCATATGCAAATTTCCTGAGCCAGTAAAGCGCTTATTGTGTGAAGATGAAGACAAGTGTGATTGCAGCCTAGTGAGCCAGGGGTGAACCGTGTAAAATGAGATTGAGAAGGTGGGCTAGGGACAGTGAAGATACCTTTATGCCATGGCATGAGGTTTGGGTTACAAGGAAAATGGGAAGACATAAAACTATGGGGGATGTAATATGAAACCACTGGGAAAGATCCCAATGGGTGCTGTGAGAAGGCAACTGAGATCAGAGAGGCAGTCAATGAAGTTGTCCTGGGTAGGGTCGGTTCATTGCCAGAGAGCAATATGTGGGTATGAGAGAGAGATTTCAGACTTGCTGCAGGTTTGGATGTGAGTGTGAAGGAGAGAAGAACCATGGGTGAGCACCAGGACTCTTCCTTGAGCATAGATGACTGTGAAGGAGGCACTGTGTGGTGGAGGAAAGAGAGTTGATGTTTGTTTTTGAGGTGACTTTGAGGTATGTTTCAAGAGGGCTTTACACTTACATGTCTGGTGGTAGTAGGAGAGATTTTTTTTTAAAAAAATATATTTTTATTGATTTTAGAGAGGAAGGAAGAGGGAGAGAGAGTTAGAAACATCAATGATGAGAGAGAATCACTGATAGGCTGCCTCCTGCACGCCCCCCACTGGGGCTCGAGCCCGCAACCCGGGCATGTGCCCTTGACCGGAATCGAACCTGGGACCCTTCAGTCGCAGGCCAACGCTCTATCCATTGAGCCAAACTGGCTAGGGCAGTAGGAGAGATTGGGGATGACCCACACATGGATGTTGTGAGCTCCCTGTACAGAAATCCAAGGAACAAAACATTGCAGGTACAATAAAGAAGGTGGAGCAGGAACCTGCAAAGGAGAAAAACAAACCCACTGTATAAAAAATCAGAGCAGTATGGTATCATGAAGCTACAAGAAGAGAGTATTGAAGAGAATGTAATTGCTGTGATTGCTGCCAGAGGCAGAGAAAGCTAAGCCTAGAAAAGTATTTATTAAATTTGACATATATTTTGAAACTATATTGCTGTTTCTTATGTGTTGGTGCTCATTCTCATTTTTTTAAATAACTTTTACTAGCATTTATAATCCTTTTGAACCTAAGATTCCGTTTTTAGTCTCCTATGAAATAGTGACCTTTTATATGTAATTTAAAATTCATGTTTTAAGTTTTTATTCCTTTATTTATATATTACTATAAAACTTTATTTTTATCTTTCTATAAACTCTTTAGTTTTATTTTCTTTAGGACTACATTTCTGGATACCACTTTTGTATTCAATCTGAGATTCTTTTTATCTGAGACCTTAAGCCATTTATAATTACTATTAATACTAATTTCTGCTATCTTATTTTACCTTTTCTACTTAAAACATTTTCCTTTTTTGCCTTTCCTGCTTTCCTTTGGATATTTTGACATATACCAGGTTTGAAACTTTTTGAAAATTTTACTTTATATTTTTGTTAGTTTTTGTAGTTACACATAAATTATTAAGGACAATAATTATGTTTATTTTTCTATCATTTTAAAGCTTACATATATTTTCCCCCCAATTAGGTAAGTATTATAGCACTTTCATTTTTCACATTTTTTTTAAATCAGGTTACATACTTACACAGAAAAATTTGTTAATATATTTTGGACTTCTATATTTGAATTATTATGCTTATGTTTTATTAATTTCTTCTTTATTTAGATACTTATTTTTTATTTAGATCCTTATTCCTTACAAATTTATAGCTTAATCATGGATTTACTTTTTTCTTTCTGGAATTTTGCTGAAAATTATATTCAAGAGGTCTGATTGTGTTGATTCTATAACCTCTATCTCTGAAAAAAACCCCTCCCTCCTATTCATTTAAACTATAGTTTTGCTGGACATAAAAGTGTAGATCCTCTTTCTTCAATACTTTTTACCCCAGGCTCTTTTACTTCAGTAACGTTCTTGTGAAGTATTTTGTCAGTATAATATTCACTCCTCTTCTATAGAGTGATCATTTACAGAGTGGTACTGTAATCTTTTAGTATTTTATCTTTATCTATAATGTGACTGATTTTTCCTATAATGTGTCTAGGTGTGCATTTTTTCTTTCATGTATCTGGATTGGTATTCTCTTTGACCTTTTACTTGGGGTCTTTAATTTTTTCTTCCTCTTACATTCAGGATAATGTTTAGCCTTTTTTTTTTTCTTCAAATGTTTCTTTCCTGCTAGGGCTTTTATAATAGTGATATTGTCACTTTTGCTTCTGTATTCCATATCTTTTAATCTTTAAATATTTTATTCTAATTATTATTTCTCCAATTCTTTTGAGAGGATTTCTAGATCTGATATTCCAGTTAAAAAATTTGTTCATTGTCTATTTTATACTTCAATGCCTATGTAAAATTCTTTTTTGTAGCATATATAGTTCTCTTATTTCAAGTCAGGTTTATTGAGGTATAATTTACTTACTGTAAAACTCATCCTTTCAGTGTATATGACTTCTGACAAAGGATACAGTTATGTGACCACCTCCTACATCCAAGATACAAGAAACTTCCATCATACACAAATGTTCCCTTTTGCTCCTTTGTGGTATCTCTCTTTCTCTCTCTGTACAACTCAAGTGCTGAGTAACCACTGATCTTTTCTCTGTCTCTATACTTTTGCTTTTTCAAATGTCATATAAACAGAATTATACAATATATAGTCTCTTGAGTTTGACTTTTTATACTTAGTAGAAGCAGCTGAGTTGATTCATTCATATTTTTGCATGCATCAATCGTTCATTTATTTCTTTTGCTGAGTAGCTTTCCATTGTGTGGTTGTACTATATATTTACTATTTGCCAATTGATGGACAATTAGGTTATTTCTAATTTGGGAGTGTTACTGATAGAGCTGCTAACAACATTTGCAAATCAGACTTTGTATTTTCATACACTTTCATTTCTCTTGCGTAAAGATCTACAGGTAAAATGGCTGGACCACTGTTTTTCTTTTACAGTATTTTCATTTTTCAGATGTCCTGTAAATTTTCCATGGAAACTCAAATATCTCTGAATATATCAGCTAGCTTGGCTGTATGTATGCCTGATGCCTGGGGTGGCAGGCACTAAAAGCCTAATTCCTAGCATTTCCTCATTCTGTTTTATTATATTTACTAGAATCCCAGTGCATGAAATTCATGCACAGGGGCGGGGTAGGGGGTAGGTTCCTCAGCCCGGCCTGCAACAACACAAGCATTCTGCGCCTGGCCTGGCCAGAAGCCCTCTGCGGCAGGGTGTGGAACGCTTGTCTCGTCGCCATGGTGATGAAGCAAGCATTCCTCCAGGCCACTCACGCTGCCTGCTCTCAGTGGCTGCCCCCCCTCCCCGGGGACTGGGGTACTCCAGCAGGGCTGAGAGGACAGGGCGCTGCCATCTTGTGGCTATGGACGCCACCATCTTTGTGATGGAGTGATGTTTAATTTGCATATTACCCTTTTATTAGATAGGATTTATTTTTGTGTGTGGGTGAGTAGAAGGTGCATGTGTCTCAGAATATAGAAATTCCATAATATCAGCAATTTTTCACTTGCCACTTCCTCCTTGCCTCAGTGACACTCACCTTTGCCTCCTTGTACCTCTGCTTATGGCATTCCATACTCCTCTTTCCCAATTCCTGTCCCAGTTGTCATTACCCAGGAAGGGTTCAGGAAAGGGACTCATCAGAGGCTGGCCAGTTGTCCAACCTAAAGTGAGCTGTTTCCTTCTCTTCAGTCAGGCTGAAGGACCACCTTGATGTTATCCCCATGCATTCTTCTTTGCACCATCCCTCAGGTTCACTCCCTTTCACTACCTCTTTGCTCTCCTTATCTCTTATGAATGTGTAAAACAAACACTTGGGCTGTGAAGGGGAGAAGGAAATTGGGTCAATAGTGGGGTCCAGGAAGAATTTTCTGTCTGCCTTTTAAAGCTGACAAGAGCAAGTTGGTATGCTAATGGGTTGATTCAGTACAGTGGGAGGTACTGTTTATACAAAACAAGGGGAGATCTTGATGGATGAAAGACCTTGACAGGGGCAAGGAAACTAGAGCCTAATTCAAATTAGTATCCTTTGATAAGAATAAATCAGATTGTGACCCTCCTGTGCTTAAAACTAGCAGTGCCTACACATTTCCCTCAGAATATAAGCCAAAATCTTTACAAGACCCCAGGAGCGCCTCTGGGACCTGACCTTCCAACACTTGCATGATCGGTTCTCCAATGTCCCCTTTACCCATTTTCTCCAGTCCTGCTTGCCTCCTTGTTGGACCTTGAAGATGCTGTGCTCCTACCTCAGCACATTTAGCTCTTTTTCAATCAACTATATCACATTTTATAGTTTCTGGTTCCCTGTAAAAATTCCCAAGCTTCACTTTTACCTCAAACAATATGGATAAGTATGGTGGTTTTTTTGGTCTGGTTCTAAGAAAACCAATTTCTAGATTCTTTATGGGTCTTTTTTGGTTTATTATTGCTGCTCATTCTCACTCACCTTGTCTTACCTCTTTATTTTTCTGAATCTGATTGTGTGTTGGGTTTTCTACTTGAAAATGTATTCAAGTAGATATTATCTTCCTATGAGAGTCTTTGCTGTCAGACACAAGGAACTCTAGTAAAAGAGAATTACCTTAATTTAATCTAAGGTTTTGAGATGATTTTTTTTCTAAACAATCAGTTTTAGATGCTTTGAGGTCTGGCTGAAGCCTATATGAGATCTGGATCACTCTTACTCCTGGGCCTCAATCTATTTTTGGCTCTGGAGACTCTGACTTTTATCTCGCTACACCTCTGATAATGTCAAATGTTTGGATCATCTCTCAAGCAACTCAACAGTATTTGCAAACACCCGCAAGGCAAAAGCAGATCTCAAATGCCTGACTTCTCTTTTCAGATTTCCAAATTCTCCTGATTTTGCCCCCCAAATTCTTCATTCTTGTTAACTCACTGATGTTTTTAATAAAATATTTTCCAGTATTTTGCTCAACTTTGTTATTACCTATTATGACAGGATTGTTCTGAGTTCCTTAGCCAACATTTTCAAAGGTGGAAATTCATATAAGGACTTTACACTTATTTATCTTGCTGGAATGCTTTATATCTAGATACCCACATAGCCAATTTTCTCACCTCCTTCAAATCTTTGCTCAAATGTCACCTTCTCTGGATTGATCATCCTATTTAAAATTGTAAGCCGTCAGTGCTCTTGACTTTCTTAACATTTCGGTGGTCATATACATGTGTGTGTGTTTGGCAGGAGCAAAGAAGGTTTCCTTTGGAAAAATGTGCTACCCTAGGCTTCAAATTACTTCTACTCTTCTTTTTTTATTGAGTTTGACACCTCCTAACATATGTTGTAATTTACTTATTTATAATTTTATTGTTTATTTTATCTCCTGCTGAAATGGAAGCTCCCAAGGGCAGGACATCTTTGTCTCTTCTATTCATGGATAAGTCTGAAGTGTACAGAACAGTTCCTGGCATACAGTAGATACATAATGATATTTGTTGAATTGATAAATGAATTAAATAGCCAATTGCTCTCAGAAAGTGGGAAAATGAGCCTGCAAGAGAAAAATTCGTGTTTACCAGGGAGTATTGAATGCCCAATTGAAATTGAATATCACTACTGATATTTATAGTGACATCAATTAGCTGATTGAGAGAGTTTCCCAGTAAGATTTTGTTTCTCAGGTACAAGTTTAGAGAAAATGGATAATGAGGTACATCCAGGTTGTGTGTGTGAGTGAGTGTGTGTGTGTGTGTGTGTGTGTGTGTGTGTGGGTTGGGGGAGGGATTCAAAGGAGAGAGAGAGGCAAGAGAGATTAAGGTATAAAATGACAATATATGTAAGCTCAAAGGTACTGAAGCTTGAATGGAGTTGGTAAGGGTTAATGATTTTGAAGTCTCAGTGAAGCCGAGGCTGAAGAAATGTCGCATTAGGGATATTTGAGAAATGGAGATGGTGTCTAGGAGGTAGAGTTCTGAAAATAGGATGTTAGAAATTGAAATTTTAGAAGTTTCTCATTTTATTTGTTAAGGCAAAGTATAGGAATGGTCTAGAAATGAATGGTTGAAATGGAGTGGATGAGAATATCTTTGGAGCATGAAGAATTGAGAGTGCAGAGATTTCTACGTGAATTTGAAGTAACAAAATATCATGTAAGGAACTATTATGATTCATGAATAAACATCATCAATAAACTAGGGAAAATTAACCAGAAAGCCGATAGGTAACAGTAATGAAAAGAATAATAAAATGATGTAGTTTAATGAAATGATTTTCAAAGGTACAAAGGATTTTATATAGAAAAGAGGGAGTATTGATTAGAAAGTCTTAATAAGAAAAAATAGGTGAACACTTTATCCCAGAGGTTAAATATTTTAAGACTATTTTATTGATTACTTTAGTATTATAATTATTTTTATTTTCATACAGACACCTACAACTGTTCCGAGATCAGCTGGACGAGAAACCAAATATGTAAGTCCCTTCATAATTATACATTCTGCTTTTTAAAAAATATATATTTTATTGATTTTTTTACAGAGCAGAAGGGAGAGGGATAGAGAGTTAGAAACATCGATGAGAGAGAAACATCGACCAGCTGCCTCCTGTATACCCCCCACTGGGGATGTGCCCACAACCAAGATACATGACCTTGACCAGATTGAACCTGGGACCCTTGAGTCTGCAGGCCTACGCTCTATCCACTGAGCCAAACCGGTTAGGGCACATTCTGCTTTTTAAATGGGTGCTTATATAGGCTTTGGAGGCAACTCATTTATACAATCATTTAAATTGAATTGGTTGATTTTTTTCAATTGGTATGATTGACTCAGATGTGGAAAATCAGGTTATGTCAGGTAAATTTATTGAGTAAGTTTCTTCTTAAGGGAGGTCTATATTTTGTCTAAGTAAAGCAGAACTTCAACACCTGCTTTCTGTCTTTCTAATATCAAAGCTTACTGTAGATGGCATTCTCATTTCTGTAATGGTTTATTGTGGTGATTATACAATAGTCAACTCATATAATTGAAACATTGATTTGTTCATTTCCAGTAAGATTGCCAGCTTATTTAATTCAATTAATTATGGGGATACCCTTGATTCAATTAATTATGGGGATCTGGTTCTGAATGTCCTGGATACACACACACATGGCCTCACCCCATCCCTACTCTTTATTTACCTAATAATCTATCATTTCTGCTTCTAACCAAACGTGTTATAGTGGAAGCAAGGTTGTTTCCTAATAAGTGTTTTGTTTTAAGTTTAATGTAAATCATTAAATTATGTATTTTATTATACACAATATTTGCTAATATGTAGTTTTCATGACCAGAGTAAATAGTTATTAAATTTACATTTTGTGACCTATCCTTTCTGCAATTGGAAAATTTCTGCTTTCATTTAAATCTCTGTAAGGCAAATAATAAGATGGGTGAAATTACTGAATTTTATCACATTCAGAAAATATTTAGAGGACATGTGTAGGAACACTCTTAGAGCATTTTCTAGAAGTTTGCACTGTTATCTTTTTTGTTATTATTGGAAGCCATTTGGAGTAATACTTAAAAGACTGGAGGCATTTAGTAGGCTATACTCAAGTTTACATTTATAGAGTTGCTGCTTGGTAACTGTTTGATACCGGAAAATCACATAACCTCTTAGTTTTATCATAAATAATATTGGGATACTAATAACCTTATTTGGTTGATGTAAGACTTAGGTTGGATAATGTATGAAAAGCCCTTACAAAAGCTGATACCTCCTCCCACCCCTCCCAACCCTGAGGGTGGTTATTTTGACAGGAATTGGTATAATTCTGGAGGGGTTGCTTCATTCTCCATAGTTAGTAGTGATTTCAAATTATTCTTTAATCAGTTATCAGCCTTAAAGTCAATTAACATTTGCCCCAAACTTTGTGAGAGCCTTTGAGTTACTTGAAGTTTACACTGAATCATCAAACAGACTTAATATAAACTAGAAAAATAATAAACCCAGATTCAAATAAGATTCTCGACTTTAATTAAATTTGTTTTTTGAGTAAGAAGCTTTGCTTTGGACTTTCTCTTACAATATGACATTTGAATTGTTGTTTGTGACACCTCAGATATGTTCATGTCTTTTGAAAGACTATAAGGGATAATTTTCTGGTGAAAGGTAAAAACCAATTCATTGATGTCACACTTGTAAATATTTGGTTGCAATTATTATGTTTACTAAGTGATGTCTGAATCTGAGAAGTCTATGGACTCTAACATTTCAATACTTACCATCTCTCTTCAAGACTTTGAGGAAAGTAGGCATCTTTCTTATATACCTGGTTGGGACTCAATGTGTCACTGACTTTGTAAAGATTCTTAGATTAGACTCAAGCAGGGATCACACAAGTTAACAACTCCTGCACCACAGCGTAAAAAAGGGAAGACAAATTAGATCCAGAAAAAAAAATTGTTTTCCTTGAGAATATCCTGAACAGAGCTCCCACACCACAGAGGAAAAAAGGGAAGATAAATTAGATTCAGAAAAAAAAAAATTGTTTTCCTTGAGAATATCCTGAACAGATTAGCACAGACTATTCAAAATCCCTATTTCTGGGTGCTCTTTAAAAATATAATATATGGTCTATAAATCATGACTACTAGAAACTCGTCAGTATTTTCATAAATAATATTGGGATACTAAAAACCTTATTTGGTTGATGTAAGGCCTAGGTTGGTTAATGTATGAAAAGCCCTTAATGTAGTTCTGACGCACAGGAATCACTTAATAGCACAAATACTCATTTGTCCAAATTTTTTCATTGATTTGAGCAATATTTATTGTGTGTCTGCCACACTGAAGAGTCACTGGGATGAGAGATGAACAAGGGCCCCATTCCTAAAACATACAATGAGGAAGACATTAAACAATTAAATGAGCAAGATACTTTCTTATAGAAATTAGAGGAGAGCTAGCCAGAGAACTGGTCAATGTTAAAGCAAACTTATAAAGTTGCTAATTTTCAATGTATCAGTATGTCCATTGGATTTCCAGATTTCCTTGGATGATTATAAAATAGTTTAACTAAATAATGATAAAATGTATGACTAATTCCTAATTTGGGGGCCTTTGGTGAAAGGCTGTCTTTTCTCCATTAAGAGAAGACAAGAAAGCCAATGCAAGAAAATTAGTTTCCTTTTCTTATTATTTCTTGTACACATTGTTCCATGTCCCATAGTCTTTTCTAGGATGACCCAGAAGCATTAAAAGCACCATCAAGTCAGAAAAATTAAAGTCAAAGGTTTCTCTAATTCATGGTATACTTGACCCTTGTTATTTTAAAGTACAGTTGACCCTTGAACAACACACGTTTGAACGTGCAGGTCTACTGATATTTCAGTAAACAGTACAAGTGTAGTTTCTCTGCCTTATGATTTTTAAAATAACATTTTCTTATCTCTGATTTACTTTATTGTAAGAATACAATATATAATACATATAATATATGAAATTATGTGTTAATTGACTGCTTAAGTTGTCTGAAAGGGTTCCAGTCAACAGTAAGCTATTACTCATTAAGTTTGGGAGGAGTCAAAAATTATATTTGGGTTTTTGGCTGTGTAGGAGGTCAGCATCCTTAACTCCCACATTGTTCAAGGGTCAACTGTGATTTAATTGAGGTTATCTTAAGTGTAATAGAAATTAAACTAGGCTAATGACATGTTGAATGGTTTCCATTGGTCACTTTGTGGGATTGATTATATTAATTTATCATCAACATTTCACTGGATTATTATTAACAGGTGCCAAATTCAACAATAATAATAACTAATATTTTAAATCTTACCTTTCATAGAAGTTTAACTATCTCATTTAACCTTTCATTAATCCTATGAGGTGGATATTGTTATTACAAAATCTCCATTTTACAGAGGAAGGAATCAAGTGTCAGAAGTCACAATAGGCAAAACCAACCCAGGTCTTCCACATGTCAAAGCCCTTGACATTAATACTCGTGTAAACCTACAGAAGCTGGGAATAGTGTGTCTGCCTTAAATATTTTATCCACAAGTAATTATTGTCTGGGTTTAAGTTCTTCATGCCCAAAACCGTTAGTCAGACTTTGAATAAATAATTTCATATTTGGTGATAGTTGATGATAATATTTTACTAAATTTCTAGTGTTTTAAATCACTTGCTTATATTTAAAATAACTCATAATTTATCAGGTAATTTATGAGTGATTATTTCTCTTGAGAGTCATTTTTAAAGAGTTTCTTTCCCTCTATGTAAAGGAATGAATTTTCTATTTAAATTTATATTTCATTCTGTTTTAATTCTATCATCTTTGGAGTCGAATGTCATTTTTTTCTTTGCATTACACTGACCTTTGTAAATGTTTATTTTTTTATTAACTAATACCAGTTTAAATTCATTTCATTCATATAATTCAAAATCATAGTATACTCTTAATAAAGAGCAACCTCAGAAAATAGGGCAAGTATTTGGACCTATTACTAATTTATAAAAAAAACACCCTTAGTTGAAATCACATTCTATTGATAACAGCTTATATTATAAACTGTCTACACTTCACGGATTACTTTTTAATGTCAGAGAAATAACAGAATATTGAATATTATATAGTGTGCAGGTAAGATTTCATTTTAATGAGCTTGAGGGACAGAAAATGTCATTACAATTTCATACATACTGCTTTCAAAATATCACAATATATTAAAAAGTGTCAAACTTTATTAAAAATATTCCCCACTATATATACAGATATTCATATAAAGGTCATCGTCTCCAATTTAGCCAGCTCACAAACTCCCCTTGTTGCTGTACTTGGAAATGTTGCTAGGCTGGAGCGTTTCAGAGGTGATGTGCACTAATGTAGTATTGGATTTCAGGCTGAGGTGATTCACTTAAATCCAATCCACTTAAATCCAGACGTGGGTTCAAATATGCTTCCATAGGATGTAAGCAGAGATTAGATGAGTTACTGGAATAGTTATAAACAATTTAAGCAAGACATTACACTCTACTGATCCGTCTTATTTCATTCCTTTATGTTTAGAAATATTTCTATGGTATTCGCGTGTGAAAGGGGATGAGGAGAAAATGGAAGATAATTATCTGGGTTCTACTAGTGAGGAGGGAAAGAAAGGATTTAATGAGGCACGTTTTATGCCTTGTATTCTTCTCATCATCACTTCAGACTTCTTCAAGCATGATGGTGCCTTAATCTAGGCTATAGAATATAGCTCATGGGATTTTGTTTCACCGAGCGCCATTCTTACACTCCTCTCTAATGCTGTCCTTCACAGTCAGTATTAACAGGAATAGATATGAGTGACTAAAAACTTAGGGTTGTTCAAATCCAATTTCTTTGAGTTCATTTTTAGGTACTTCAAGTTGCTTCTCTACCTTAGTTTAGTTGACTGATAGGCAGTTGTTCCTATATAGTAGCCTCCTCCCTGCACTCACGGCTC